ACTGAAGAGACAAAACAGAAGCAAGTTCAAAACAAATGCATGCAACTACCCTAATTTTCTGATGCATGTATTTGTCACTTGCAAAAGCAGAAAAAAAATTCTGAAATATTTTTAAAATTCATTTATGTTTCTGCTGATACAGCCTGAAATTGTTTAACCTTCCAGTTGATTTTTTTTTCCTAGTAACTGTTGTCACTCTGAGCTCAATTCTAATCTCATTCCAAGTTCACCATGGTGTAACTGTAGTAGTTGATTTGATATTCACGAGGTACAACAACATAAGAAAGAGGAAAATACCTTGTGATAAATTATTAAAGGATAATTAAACACCTGCTAGATATTAATTTGCCTTAGCAGAATTTAACAATCCATTGTTTGTTATTCAGGAGTTTAGTGAACGAGACTATAGTGCTCTGAAATTTTACATTGAGTTAGGCTTTTAATTATACTTTTTTTCCTACTTTTGGCTCAAAAGGAGATTGTCTTGCCCATTTTTCATAAATTTTAAATTTCATTCCCAATGAACAGGTGATAAAAGTTATTACAAAAACTTGTTGTCTCAGCGAATTCAAGTTCTTGTTATAGAAATACAGGTTAGGGCTGTTTATGAAAATAAAAATGTACAGTACATCAGAGTAATCTCAATTTTTTTTTTTACAAGTGTGATTATCTTGCCTTTTTTCTGTTTTGTTTATTTTTACTGGGGCACTATGTACTAGAAGAAAAGGTCATTCCTTATTAACATGATGAAAGAAAACATTTTTTCTTAATTTTAGCAAGGTGTATTATTTTTACAAAGTAAACCTATTTTTAGTTCAAGAAGCAGTATGTTAACCCTTTTTCCCATGGTTTTGATTCTACTTAAGAAGCCAGCATCAAAGGAATAATAATGGGTGCTATGATTTGTTCAGTTTTGTCTTTAATTCAAGGAATGAAAGAGTAGGAAAAAAATGAGAAGTGATCCATCTCTTTCATATAAGTGCACATTCTCCATTAGTAAACTTTACAAAGTAAATGTACTGTTCTGTATCTTTTATTTCCTCATATATATAAATTTTATGGTTTAATCTAATTTTCCACTGGGGCTACCAAGTCCCACTTGGCAAGTTTATTCCTACTGGTGATAAAGTTGCTTTTCTTAGTAACTTTTTACATACCCCTTAGAGTAAAGCTATGGGCTACCCAGGGTCTGCAGACCACAAATTGAAAGCCAGTGGTTCAAGACCATGTTTTCGTATTTCTTTCACAGCTCTTAGCTTGCTATTCTGATTGAGAATCATGGTTCAATCAAAAGAAAAAAAAGCAATGAAGAAAAAAGTTTGTTTTACCTCGAGCTCTTAGATCCCAGTATTTGCAGTCATATCAAAGGAAGTCTAGCAAGGTTGATGTTAGGGTCTGAAAAATTTTGCAGGAAGAGGAAATTGCAAAGGAGATTGAAACAGAAAAATTATCAACATTAAAGGATTACCTTTAACCCTTCGTTTAAATGAGAAAACATACTTGAACAAGAAATCCTCTGTGGTTAAGAGATACTGATTGTTCTGTCTGGTTGTCATGAAGTTACTTTGTGGTTTGTGCTTCAAGTTGCTCCAACAAGTTACCTTGACCTTGTACTTCAGCAATCATACAAAGTTGAGGTTGGTCAAGAGTTTTTGTTTGAACACAGCTATTTAAAGTGTTATTGATCTCAGACTGTAAAAAAGAACAAAATGTCCTATTACTATTTCCATTTATTTGGTAATCTTTAATAAAAAGTACTTACCTCTACCTAAAGTCTTCTATAAATGCAGGGAAGAGAATGTTTAGAAGTCATATAGACGTGTTTCTTGTCACGGGGGCTTGGCTCTGACTCGGGCAGTGGCCATTTGCAAATGGAAGCTAGACGCCTTCGTGATCCTGCACAGTGCAGTGGGCAAAGGAGCAGAGCTGTGACTGGAAGTAATGCTCCATTTGCTGGTTGGAAACTGTGGCTTTTGAAATGAGGGCTACTTAATTCCCATTTCACATCAATTATTAAAGCATAGGTGATCGCCTAATTAAAAAAAAAAAAAAGTCATTATCTCCTAATTTATGAACTCATTCAGCTTCCACTCATCAACTTCATTCCATTACCTATTAACATTTTTCCTTTGTTGGTTAGTATCAGGTCTCAAATATACTCTTCCCTTGTTGCCTAGGAAATTATCACTCACAGAAGAGCTAGAAGCTTCTTTTAGCTGCCTTTTTTTGTAGAGTTGTCCTTTATATATGTCTCCATTGCTGGAGGGGGCAGGAGGTGTGTATTTTGCAGACCAGAAGTAATACAGTTACTGTGTGCCAACAATGCAGAGGCTGAATACACAGAGGCCCTAAAATGATTAAATTTAACCTTTTTTTTTTTTTTTTGAATGAACATTCGAAGAAAAGGAAATTAAATGTGAAAGCTATATTAGCATGACATTATAGAATCATCTTAAATGTGATATTATGTGATAAATACTGTAGAAAGTCCTCTCATTAAAATAAACAAAGTTGTATAGATAATCTCTGAATTAAGACAGAAGCCATGGCATTTTGAGGCTTTCATGCAGCTGTCTATACAAAAGGACTCATTCTCACTGGGGCTTCTAGGTGCTACTATAAATTAAATAATAAGTGTGAAACTGCTCTCCAGACAGAAAGAAGAAGAGAATACTGCACTCTTTTAGCCTTACACATATGATCATGTTGTTTTGATCTCCTTTTTTTCTGAATTATTGAGTCATGATCAAATAGGACATTCCAAAATGTAGGACCAAAGTTGTTTCCCGTACAAATTACTGACCTCCTAAAAGAAAATGCACCTGTTTATCTAGAAATTCATATGTGTTAGTCTTCAAGCCCCAATATCTGCACTGGTTTTACTGAAATGCTAATATCAAATGGAAACAGATGTTCACACAAGTCTTTTTCTTTAATGTTTCGAAATGTCATAGAGGTATTTCAGGAAGAATGTGTTTTCTTTGTTTCAGATCATACCAAGATAGCCACATCCCTGTTTCACTACTGGATTACAGATATCCTTCCTGTGAAGAACAGGAAATAAAGCCTTGCCTGTGTCCACATGAGCAGGGTTAAAATTTAGCAGACAAACTCTTAACCAAGTAGCAATTGTTCAGGAAGAGCAGTGTCAATACAGATTCTACACCTTCAGGTGAATGAGTTATTGTTCTGTGTTACAAACTCCAAAAGACAATAAAGAAGGTATAACTACATGTGATTTTTGTTAGTCAAGAATATCCATATGCTGTGTGGCATGAGTCTTCAGCTCATAGTACGTACATTTCAGTTTAGGATAAAGGACTTACCTAGAATGATAAAGTCTGTATCAAGTATTTTGTTTAAAAAGTTTAGTTGTTTGGGGGTTTTTGTTTATAAATTGATCCTTCCTTTCTGGAAGTTTTTTTTCTTGACTTTTCCTGTTTATCTGATACATCTGTTTACCTGAAAAACAGAAATATATTTTTATATTTAAATCTAAGCAACAGTGTGTCTGAGGAGTGTATTTTTGCTGAATAAACTGCTAAACTATGGAAATAGATACATTTCTATGTGTGGGTCCTGTAGGTACTGCTTGGTGTTATGCAGAAACTTGGATGGCATTTTCAGAACTGTTCCACAACCCAGCCTCTTACAATCTGATGGGCTTTCCTGGCTGCAAAATTATGGGACTGGTTCGATCACTGGTTACTGTGTAGTCTTTCTGCAACTGAATTTATCCATGTGTAGATGATACAATAAATAATATCCATGGTTGTGAAATGGTTTGGAATCCTGAAGAAAAAAGTGCTTCATAAGTGAGAGGCTCTTCTCTCAGCTGAGTCATTCACCTGATAGGTGATACAGAGCAAACCATTTCTCATATCTCAGTGTGTTAGCTTCCTCATCAGTAGGATAGGGGCAACATATTTGTCTCCTCCAACATATGCTTGGACTTATATTACTGACGAGACTATATAAATGTTGTGTGGGGTTTTTGCTTTGCTTTTTGGTTGGGTTTTTTTTTATTTATATTGCTTGATATATCCTGTTGCAAGGCATTGTTTTTAGTGATGCTCAAAAATGTGTAATAAAAATACAATCATATTTCTTGCTCGTTAATTGAAGAAGTTAAAAGGGGTTCAGCAACATGCAATAGGATTGTAGGTGCAGTAAAAATGGTCTTATGGCTAAGGCAGCTGTGTGCAGCTCTGGAGAACTTGAGTTATGTCTCTATCTTCTAGGAAAGATTTAAAACAGACTTTGCAGAGGAGAAACTAATAGCATGTTCCCAGTTTTAATGCTCCTGACTTGCTAACACATAGGCACTGAACTGTAGCTGTGACTTTTCACTGAGAGGCTGTGTGCCTCTGTCCCACATCTGGAGAATGAAGAAAATATCACTTGAATATGAAGCACCTAGATACTCTGTTGACAGACCCTGCAGGAAATTAATCACTTCATCCTCAGATTAAGGTTTGAATGTTGTGCAGTAAATGAGGCCTAAGAGCCGCGCAAAAAGGATATGCAGCGGCCCATTAGGTAGGAATCATCTGTCCTATACACTGAATAGGAAAAAATAAATGAGATCATGAACTTAAAGTATTTTGAAACACAAGTACCAACCAGGTCAAATTAGGACCGTACAAACAACTATAGTGTCTGCATTTCCTGATACTTAGGTGACTGTGCTGAGGGGTGTTATAAGGCTGCTGCCTTGGGTGGACCCCAGGACCTGAGGATTCCTCCTTGTTGTCCTCTGGGCCACAGGCTGGTACACCTGGAGACCTGAATGTCTCTCTGTCCCATGGAGGAGGAGGTGACTGTGGCTTTCATGTTTTCAGGTTCAGCCAGTAGTGAGGCTCAGCACATATCCCAGGGGACGGACGGATGGATGGACAGACAGACACACTTTCTCTCTCTCACACACACTCACATGGCTGGCTGCACAGGCTGCCACAGACAGGGCACTGCCTTTCACAACACCCATGAGTGACTCTGCCAGGACTCACATGAAATACAGGTGCAGTCATCCCTCTCTGAGTGATTGGAATTGAAGTTCAGGAGTGAAAAGACACACACCTTCACTTCCTAGATTCACAAGCGTACCCCCATTCGCAGATCCCTCAAATACCAGTCACAGGCCCCCAGCCTCTCTCCTATCCCTGCCTGGATCCTGGGCCCTCTTACCTGCTCTGGGAGTCTGCTACTCACCAGCTGGTCCAGCCTGACACATGTGATCGCACACACATTCACACACCCATCTCACAAGCGCTCACACACTCATCTCACAGCTTTGTTTATTGCTTTAATTTCTCTTCTTTATTGTTTCTGTTTCGGTGCTTGGCCATTTCTCATTATATTAAAGTGATTTGTAAAATTAGGCTGAATTTTAAATAGCTGCATACAGAGGAGCAGATTTGGGTATCTTTGCCAAACAGAAATATTTTGTGCTGTCAGTAGTCTAATCCCAGAATGTGAGTACAATTTCTGAGGTCAAAAATGTACTTTGCTTGAATCGGGTAATAATGGGGAAAAGATTGCTTTCAGTCTCTCTTTTTTCCCTTCACTTTAACCACTGTAAGAGTCTTACATTCTGTGCAGAAATCAGCTGGTCCTAACAAAGCAAGCCTGGAGCAGTTTCAGAACGTAGCTAGTTAGTCAGTGATATCTGATGTCTTTGTAAATGACCTGTGATAGAGGCTGAATCTTACACTTACCAAACCTGCCACTATTACACTAACAGAGATTATAAAAAGTAGAGCATAAAGGAAAGTCTGAAATGTTGGAGAGTTTAGAAAATTGGACTAAATTCAAGCAGATGAATTGTGGATTGTCATTGTCCATGGCTTAAGAGTGTATTTGTTTCTGAAACAAATGTGCCAAACAATGTTTGCTGAACTGCAACATGGTGAAGGACATTTAAGAGTAATACACAAAAGAACACAGCAGAAAGATCTAGTTTAAAAGCAAAAGAAATGGACATTACTTATCCTATAATAATATCAATTAGGAAATGTATTAAAAATGTCAGGGGGGAAGGATTGTTCGGTTTCATGTTTAACATCGTATTTGCAGTCGAAGTGATTGCATACACCAGCATTTTAATACCTGGTCACTTTCTGTGCTGCTTCTCTAACAGAAATGGTGCTGAATCTCCCTACACCTTTTATGGTTTATTTCAGCAACAATATAACCAACACAGCTGGCGTATGAAAACTGAAAAATTTAAATTAATATCCATTAGTGAACACTGTGTTTTACATTTCACTATACATGGCTCCTTCAACATAGCAATGAAACATTTATCACTTTGGATTTTCATGCTAAACTCGTACATGGCAAAGGAGATGGCCTTGAATTTTTGCTTCTTCCACATCATTCAGTCTAATGAATATGCAGTATCGTGTGGAATTTCTGAGGCATGGAAGAGTTTTTTTAGTGTAATTTTCACAGAGAACTTCAGACGGAACTGTACACACACTATTATCAGCATATTTCAAACTTCTGGGAAGGCAGAACTTTAAAATTCTGTTTTTACAACCTACATAGACTCCAACAGTAGGAAGACTTTAAGGATCAACTAGAAAGCAGCCTGCATGTGGCTTCAAGAGTTAACTGTCTAGTTTGCGTAATTAAACATTACTCAGGAAGGAAGGAACAGCAGCACAGTGGGAGAGAAATCGGGCTCTGAGTAGGTAGTGGTCCCTTCCCTAGGCTCTTCATACAAGGAAGACCACAGAGACTGAAGTAGTTTTGGGCATCTGTAGTAGTAAATAGCTGGTCATTAAATAGCCTTGTATGCAAGGGTATGAGTTCAAAGCCATTATCTCTATATACAGTACATATTTTAGTCTCAAAGTTGCCTGTAGGACCTTAATTCTTCTCTTTTGTGGATGTGTAATGTGGGAATCAGCCTCTAATGTTACAGATTTTTACTGCTTCGTAAGTGGTGCAATATTTTATATAGTACTTTACAGTCGTGTAGAATTATAAATTCTTTAATGTGTTTTCTGTGACAGCTGGCTTTTCTCCCCTGCAGCAGTGCAGGGGATACTCCTCAGTAGGCTGAATCTCTGAAATGACATCTGGGGAAAAAAAAAAAAAAAGACTTTTTTTAAAAAAAAAGACAAGGAGTGGCAGCATGAAGGCAGAAGAAAATTGTTAAGCTGCCTTTGACCGAAGAAAACATATTTCACCCAGTAATATCTCGTATATCATAAAACTAGTCCACAGAAGTAAAGTGATGTGTGTTATGCTTGTACAGTATGCTACACATTAATTGCTTCAGCCCTAGATTGCGCCTAAGGAGGGCTGCATTGCATGTTCACGCAGCTAATTTAGCTTCACTGTTAACTACTTTATCCTCTGCATTGCATCTGAGTAAATTTCGTTGAATAGGATAATTACAATGTCTTCACAATTTTTTATGTATGTTTTTCTTAGATGAAAAAAACTGTCTATTTTTAAACTGCTAGGTATATGGTGAACTGAGCCATGGGGGAAAAGCACTACATGAGTATAAAGAAAAAGCAGAAATTTACAAATGCTGTGTGTTTCCCACATCTAAAGATCTAGGAAAAAAACTAAGTATTATTTGATTATTTAAAAACAATGTATATGCACCACAGTCACTCAGGGATAAATACATAGCTTTAACAAGGACATTCTTCGAGTTGAGTGCTTAACTTCATAGGATTAATAGTCTGTAGTCATTTTAATGAACTGTATACATTTGTAAAATATATAAGCAAGCTGTAGTTCTCTTTTACGTTTTTACTGCAATGCTACATCCTGGTTTTGGGTACATAATGTAAAAAAAAAAAATGTTATCTAAGACTGAAGAGGACTACACAAAAATAGAGAAGGAATGAATCTGTGGGTTCAGTACCTTCTTTTCTTTTGCATCAACTCTAGGCTGCTGTAGGTTGCATCACCTAGAGGCTGCTTTTCTTCGCTTTAAGATCCTTGCCAGCCTTCTCAGTCCCTCAGTCAGTGCACAGATGATTCCTCCATCCTCTCAGCCTCTGGTACTAGCTTCCACCACCCATTTGCTACATTTAGATT